GCAAAGCATAGGACATCCAACCAAAAAATGAGATAAATAAGTGGACCATATTGGACTATAAGAAGGAAGTAGGTTTGAAGCCGGCGACCTTTCTTGCCTAAGTGTTTTGGTAAAGTATAGTTAAGCATGGTGTCCGTCACATGGGGGTCGAAAGCTTAGCAAGGATTCATTTGGGTCGTAGGGGGGTGTGCCGAGGACTTATTCGCACATATCTGCAACCACAGCTCCAAGGCAGCCCCCCCACTGCTTCAGGTGGAACCAACCTATAAATCCCCATCAATCGCCTCTTTAAACGAAATGAAAGGTACTCCAGCAAAAAACAGATTTTGTTTGTTTTATTGTACCTGAGCTGGCTAAAATACGCGATAGTGAAAGTCAAACTTCCAGTCTATATCATGGACATAGCCGAACATAACTATCTCCAAAGTGAGTACATATATTAGGGGTAGCGAACGGGCGCGTCCTTTTTAAGTATTTTACATTAAAGTATGCATAAATGTCCGCCTTAACATGCCAAATTACTTGTTATGGTGTATATAGGATTTCTCTAGAAAGTTTGATTGAAATTGTCCCTTAATTATTAACAAATGCAATCAACAAAGACAAATTCTCACCGTCAAGTCCTCTGACACGTTTGTGAATCAAACAATGTACAATACCTAACTTGATCCTCAACAAGCACAGGGGCCTCTGGAGCAAGTCCATGACCGAGTATCCCCAGATGAGGGGCAAACTGTCATAAAGAAAATGGAGAGTCATCATCATTTTATCCTTTACAGACATCTGTCAAAATGACTACATACGAGTAATCTATCATTGAACCTTTCATTTTTTTAAGGTTTGGCGAAAAGGGTTTATATTTTGGCTTCCCCGGAAACCGAAGTAGTATTATCATGGAATTAATGCCATGACATAATCAGCGTGTGAAACCATACTTTGGCCATAAGTTACTAAGCGCCATATCAAGAGATGCGTCCAGCTGAGAACCTACCTACTTCAAATGCAATTTATTCACGACCTAAATGAGGTATCCAATAGTTTGTTTTGCTGATTCATGCTATACTCATATGTGCAGATGAGTTGAGGCAACATGAACCTGGCTGATCAGCTGTTCCCTTATCTACATTAGTTAGAAGAAGAATTTAGTCCATTGAGTTCGCTTAAGATAATTAAAGGACAGATAACTGAGATTTTCCGCAATCGAATTAGTATACCTCAGGATGCCAATAAATTCTTCTTCGATTTGCTTCCTAAAAGGCGATATAATCCAGGCTGGAATGTAGTTTCGATCTTGTCCGGTCCACTGCTGCGCCAATATGATTCACTACCTGACGTGAGCATCGTGGTGATTTCACTACACAACCACGATTGCCAATGGGTCGCAGAGTAGATGTGACATTCAAAACAAGCCAATACTCTCACAAATAGAATTTACTTTGGGAATATTTATTAGGAAAACATATATTCAGCATTGCAAGTGACGATGTTGCCTTTGATAGTTGAGTTTGATGGTCTAAAAAACTACATACATCGAGAATGAATAAACCAAATATTTTGGGGGAGCAGAATGGGAGGGGCTAGGTTCCAAAAAAGGTCACCACAATACTTATGAACAGGCGCCGAATCCAGTTGGGGATGGCGATGAAACTTAGGAAATGTAGAAAAAGCACTTAAGTTTGAATGAGATAATCTTTTTAGGAGGCCAGGCTAATTTAGCTTCAAGGGCATCATGGGGCCTACTTATCTTATTGTGAGAAACTCGACTATCAGTTTTAAATTAAATTCTGACCATCGTTTGCCCAGTATGTCAAAGACACTATCACTTTTGTAAAAAGGGGATTTTACAGATGGTGATCAGTTGACTGATTAAAAAATGTGCCACAGTTTAATTTTAGGTCATAGTCAGAGTCTAATTTCTCTGTATCGAAATGATACAATCACATTTTTGCACCACGGTCGTATTGTCTGGCCGACCCCGAAGATTGTAACTCGTTCGGCATCCTCTGACATTATTTTGACAATGATTGCTTTGCTCATTTCCGTTTCGAGTGAAAGCACGTGATGATTAGATTCGAAGGTCGAACCTATCCAGATGGGCTCATGTGATCGCTTTTGTGTTGGGGAGGTCTATAGGTTCATTCGAGAAGGTGTGACTGAGCATAAAATTGACGGTACAAACTGTCGGGTGCAGAGATCAGAGGTAGCTGAACACACGGCAAAAACAGATCATAAGATATAATGATCCTAAACATTACGTTTTGCAGGTTGTGTTATGTCTGCAGTTAAATGCAAGCTTAGAGGGGCCATCGAGTTAGAAAGATCAGACAATAAGTTGAACGTCAGGGACACTGGTAAAAAGTTAACCTAAAGCATATAAGACTTTGATACAATCAGTGGCTGCTTTACGATTAATCTCTTAACATGACATTGTTGGGGAAACTAATTTCCTATGAAAGTGCATGATGAAGCGAGTTGTAGGTCGATCTCAACGGAAGACGAAAGCTCAACCGGTTTTCGCTTGAAACAAGGGAACGTCGTATTAAAGCCGGACGGCTACAATAGAACGAGGATCGGCAGTCGTCTTCTGGTGAGCTTGAACTATCAATCTCTTCTTCATCCACTTTCATACGAAATGAAAGTCTTCCCAACAATATTAATGCTTACTCGATAGAGCTAAGGATAGACAGGGTGTTGAGCCGAGGCAAGGAGATACGACTCAAGTAATCTTTTGTTGGTATTGCTTCTAATCACAATCCCATTTTCTATACGTCCTAATTACATATTTCTCTCTATCTCTCTCTCTTGTCTGGCTAAGTTGAATAGCTTTCGTCTATGTATATGTGCGACATATATACAGACAAAAGCTCATCAATTTAGCCAGACGTGTATCCGACAGTATGTCACCTGAATGATGGCTAGAAAGGGGTTGGTGTCATTATACCTTGATGACCAAGGTCAGAGACTACTTTTTGTTTTAATTACTTCGAGCTACCACTGCTCGTTTCGTGCAAACACCAACACACGAAGGCACATTAGAAACAACCACATGCGCACACACTTCCCCCTAGATTGCCATCTGACATGAATTAACCAAATCACAGTATTTAGGGATAGACGGGTGGGTTTTCTAAACTCGTTAGCTTGCATATAATTGTATGCATGCTACTCTGTTCTGATGATGTGCATCATATAACGGACGAATCTAAGGAGATCGCATTAGGGACGCTATCAATGAGAACATTTCAGTAAAGCCAATCGACAACGGACCAAGATAAATCAATCACCGTACTCTGGTGGGATTGAACTTCGAATCTCTTCACCACACACTCGCACTCAAAATGGAAGTGAGCTCCACAAGTATAAACTAATAGATTCCTAAAAACCCGACTTTTCGTCTCAGATATTATTAGCAGATACATTTCCATCGCCGAATTGGCTATTTGGTATGCTCTCAGACCTCGCTCTAGCTTCGTCAGTGATCCTTCTAAGCTAGAAGAGGATGGAGTGGATACGTTCATCGAGGTCACCATGACAACAGGATAAATTTGCACCCCATCTTGGCACCCACTATCATCACTTTTCTAAAGCTCATGCTTAAGGTAACAAAGCTCTGCCTCGAAAATTTCGGCCCCCCATCTGCTTAAAAGTGAGCGATAAGTTTGTTCAGTGAAGGAACAGATTGCGACACACAATCGTCTTCACGTCACGCTCTGATACAGCCAAGGCGACATCATCATCACAGATACAGGTTTCATCCCGTCTTCCTTTCAATGCCCTGTGCACAGTCTGGTGTCAGCGCATACCTTTTGTAGAAGGTTATTGATTTTCCCCCCATAAAACTGGTCTTGCCGTGACAGCCGTGTGTGCCTGTCTGTGGGATATTGATAGAGCCGATCGATTGCCTGGGATGGTTACTAGTGTTGCTAACACAAGTGTAGACAGCCAATCGCAGTAGTGGCTTACAATTCCTAGCAAATATTGCAATTTACGCCATTATTTACTCTATCATGAAATTAGCAATGAATGTATTCCATATAGCCTTTTTAAAGGCAAAATCATATATAAAGTGCGCCACTCGAGCTTGCACATACTGTAAATGTCCCCTGTAGTGATCGTGTAGGAAATAAACAAGACACAGAACTGGTGGGTTTCGAAGCAGCCAGTAGATTTTGAATAAGAGCTCTAGTCGGCATTGGTTGCCAAAAGTGATGAAAAAGTGATGGTGAAGTTTGTCAAAATGAAATAAGTATGCTTCACTGTGAAATTGAATTTCAATTGGCTTTGTCTCCCAGAAAGTGTTCTCATACGACTTGGACTGGAATGCAGTTTCGACCTCGCCAAGGTCTGATCACCAACCCAGTCCAACAGAGATGGGAACACCTTTGAGAAAGTGAAATTCAATGGCACTCTTTTCATGGTGAAAAAATTAACATTATTTCTTCAAGACATTATGTGGCCAGGGGTGAATATAGCTCATATTATTATAGATAAAATTAATATCAATCCCACATTCTTCGACTTATCTCGAATCGGTCTATAAAGCCGGAGAAATCAGACTTTTTCTCTCGTTAGACACTTTTACTAAGGACATTGTAGCACAACATCAAACGGCTCTAATCCTGTCTGTCTGTGCTCGGATGCCAGCAACGGTTCAGTCTTCTGGTGCTCTAATCGCGTATGTTTGTTCAATCTGGCAGAACCTTGATCGTCAGAAGTATTTGCAGACCTGCAAACAAAGCAGGCATGACCACGTTTTCCCAACTTAGTCATTGTGTCAGGCCGAGTTGGAATAAAGCCCGGGAATGCGCAGAGTCGACACTGATGCTGGAAATTACCATAACTACTTCTAGGTCGCCATGACGCCACGACTAAGCTGAGAAATGCATAGAGCTGAACTGACTGATGGCGTGCTAGCGGGAGGTAATTACAAGATTGCTTTTGGCAACATCGTTTTCTGATAAGTTTTTGCCCAGCCATTCGGAAGCAATGGATGAAGTTGTGGACAAACCGTTGCCATCACGTGACCACACCTACACAACTTTTGTCTCCTTATGACGACCAACATGTAACACGTCAATGAGGAATGAACATACACGAACACGTTTACCATTGATGCGACTTGTCCACTTTAGCCTGAGTTGGCTGACTCCCCAACCCTCTGCATCAGCACAGTTGTTTTGGGCCAGCAGACTTCAGACAGTCTAGCCAGCCAGCAAGACTTAACAGCCTCAGTTTTGCCATTTCAGACCAGAATGGGTCTAGCCAGAGCTGGTCCAGAGTTTGTGCAGAGCTTGTCGAGCGCTTGACGAAAATTTTCATTATCCCACGCTTTGGCCATAATTTCCCCTCCAACTATTGCATCGCCCTTGTGATCATAATATTGTAGACGAATTGTGAAGCTGAAACTTGAATTAAGTAGTATTTCGAGACTATCGGCGGATCTTGAATTAAAGCTTTAGTCACCCCAGATCGCCCAAGGTAAGGAGAGATGAAAAGGGAGTTTAGCCACACTAAGAAGCAATTGAATTTCACTTAGTCTTGCTTCCAAAAGGTATTCTCCTCTGAGGTGGACTTCAGTTTCGACCTCGCCGACGCTTCATCAGCATCCCGATCAAC